TCCTTCCTGCTAGGGAAGGAAAGGCGGCTCCCCGCCCTCTCCTCCTCTCCGGCTGCGACCTCTCCGTGCGCGTGTGGGCGGGCAGGCGCGCGCAGCATGTCTCCGTACCTTAGGCTTTTTTTCAGCTCCTCTGATTTTCTTTCTGGTTTTCTCTTTCCTTCTTGTTGTAGAAATTTCAGTCAGTCGACTACCTGTAGCTCTGGGCAATGTCCACTTTTACATTTTAGTTGTATTCCATTGAAATTGTTGTGTGCTGCCGCGGCTAGATGTCTACCCGAGCAGCCATCTTGGATCCTCCCATATTAGCCTTTTAGATAGATAGATAGATAGATAGATAGATAGATAGATAGATAGATAGATTGATTATGTAACTGCATCTTTTAAAAATATATAATGTTATTGATTTCAGAGAGGAAGGGAAAGGGAGAGATAGAAACATCAAGAATGAGAGAGAATCATTGATCTCTGCCTCCTATATGCCTCCTACTGGGGATCGAGTCCAAAACCCCTGATGTGTCCCCTGACATGGAATTTAACTGGTGACCTCTTGATATATGGGTCAGTGCTCAAACACTGAGCAATACCAGCAGGGCTCAATAAATTGTTCTTAAAACAAAAAGTCTGCCTTTCAGGCTCTTCACTAACTTTTTTTTGTTGTTGTTGTTAATCCTCACCAAGGGTATTTTTTTCCATTGATTTTTAGGAGGGTGGAAGAGACAACAATGTTAGAGAGAGACACAGTGATTGGTTGCCTCCCACATGCAACCCAGGTATGTGACCTTGACTGGAATGGAACCCTTGTCACAGGTGCGAGGGCCGATGCGCTAACCTTTGAACTACACCAGCCATGGTTCACTAACTTCATAAAGATTAATACATGCTATTTTGTTCTTTATTGAGTGTCACTTATATAATACTAGCTGAAGCAATAACATTCACTGTGGATATTTCCATAATTGATCCTCCGTAAAAAGAGGGAAGGAGTAGGGTGGTGACCAAGAAAAGTTTCTGCCTTTTTGGAACTTAAATGCTACTGAGGAAGACAGATAATAAGCAAATGTATAATATACTTTTTAAGTGATCAATTACTATAGAAAATAGTAAACAGAATAAGGAGATAGAGATGTGGTATTTTAGACTGGGGAGGAGCTGACCTTTGAGTATAGAACTGAAGGAGTAAGGTAATGTGAAGACGAGAGGGAAGAATATTTCAGAGGAATAACATATTAAGGGTGAAGGCCCCGAGGTTAGGAATGAGCCTGAGGAGTTCATATAGTCAGACACAATGGCCAGAGCAGAGTGTAGAAGCAATATAGTACCGTGTTTCCCCGAAAATAAGACATCCCCTGAAAATAAGACCTAGCGCAACTTTGGGAGAAAAAATTAATATAAGACACTGTCTTATTTTCGGGGAAACAGGGTAATAGAAGGTAAGGCAACAAGTTAGCCAGGGCCTAAATCACTTAGACTTTGTAAATCATCATAGGGCATTGGAATTTAGTTCTATGTGGAAAGAAGCCACCTGATAGTTCTGATCAGGGGGTTGAAAATTTTCTGTTAATAGAAGTTTGTTCTGGCTCCTGGACAGAGAATAGGCTGTAGGGGAGCAAAAGTAAAAACAGGGAGAGCACTTATAAGGCTATTGCAATGGTCCAGGCTTTAATTGCTTCTCTATAAATGTTACAGGACTGAAAACCATCCTGGGTAAATTGTATTATCTGATAATAGGCAAAAGTCTTCATGTCCTTTCCTGGGTAGCAGAGGATGCATCAATAAATTATGATGTTGCTCAGTTACAAACTCCTCCACTCTACAGCCAGGGATGGACCAGCAGTGAAGGAGTAAAACATTCATCTGAAGGACCACATAATAGAAAAAAACACCTTATTATTCACACTTGAAACTCTGATTGATTCCATTCTTAGAATCATGAATGCAGATCAAGAGCTAATTGTTTATCATTAACTACATGCCAGACACTGTATTAGACACTCTAATTTTTCTCACATATTGAGATATTTTCTAAACCATAATACAAAAAACAGAAGATACTTTTCTTTTTCTTTGGAGAAGAGAATTTTTTTAAAGCTTATTAGGGAGCTCATAAAATCTCAGGCTTGGAAGCTGGAACACAGTCCACCCACCTATGCAGTATTGCTATAATGAAAACATCACTGACACTGTGATTTGATCACAACTTGTACTGACAGTGCTTGGAGCTGGGCACCAGATACTCCACCTAAGTACTGCCTTGAAAAGCTGGATATCATTTCCACTAGGTTTACTGAAAACTACATTTTATGCAAGCCATATTTTATGTTGTTCCCTTCTGGTTTAATGGATTAAACAGCTACCGAGAAAAATCTTTCTCCTAGAAGCACTTGGGGCCAAAAATAGGAGTGGGGAGAGATCTCTCTGAAGCTTCTAATACCTTGACCAAATGGAAGGAAGCTGCCATCTCAAAGCAGAGAAATCAGACTAAAGCTACAGTAAAGCCCAGCAAAAGCTTAAGACGGTGATCTGACAAAATAAATAGCATGCTGTCCTGTCCGGTGGGCTTAGTGGTTAGAGCATTGCCCCATGCACTGAAGGTCACGGGTTCAATTCCTGGTCAAGACATGCACCTGGGTTGTAGGTTCGATCCTGGCCCAGGTCAGGACACATACAGGAGGCAGCCAATTGCTGTGTGTGTCTCCCACTGATGTTTCTCCTCTCTCCCTCCCTTCTACTCTGAAAATTAATGGAAAAAATATCCTCAGGTGAGGATTAACGACAATAAAAATTTGAAAATGGAACTGCTTTATGATCCATCAATTCCACTTCTGGGAATATATCCAAAGTCCATAAATCTAATTTATAAGAATATGCACCCCTATGTTCATTGCAGAGTTATTTACAAGTTGGAGCCTAATGCATAAATTTGTGCACCAAGGAACTGTGGGCCATGAGGCTCATCCTCTGTACCCCCACCAAGCCCCTCCTGCTGCAGCCCCTTCCTCCCACATGCTGATGGCGTTGGCCTCACTCACACCTGCTGACAGCGTGGAGCAATTAGGGCCAGCGCCAGCAGCAGGTGCAAGTGGGACTGGCGCTGGCGGTGTGAGTGGCAGTTGCCAGCCCCGATCACCCCTCAGGGCTTCTCCACCTAACCCTGCTCCTGAGGGGCAATCGGCTGGCAGCCACTGCTCGAACCCACTGATGGCACAAAGTGATTGGGGCTGGTGCCAGGCACTGGCAGCATAGTCAAGCAGCAGCTCTGGCGCCAGCAGCAAGTGTGAGCAGGGCCAACACCAGCAGCAGGTGCAAGTGACGGGTGGGTCTGTGGCCTGCAGGAGCAAAGAATTTTCAGTAACCATCTGAGGCTTGCCCCAATGACAATGACTGATGCCCTGCCTAGATCTGGTGCCTCTGCTCACCTCTCAATTATTCCACTTTGGCCAATTCCCACCATGTTTCGTGCACGTGCCCCCTGGTGGTCAGCACACATCATAGCGACTGGTTGGTTGGTTGTTCTGCCATTCAGTCTATTTGCATATTAGAGTTTTATAATATATATATTGACTAGAGGCCTGATGCATGAAATTGTGCACTCAGGTGGGGGGCGATCCCTCAGCCCAGCCTGTGCCCTCTCATAGTCTAGGAGCCCTTAGGGGATGTCCAGCTGATGGCTTGGGCCCGCTCCCTGTCAGTCGGATATCCTGAGTGTGCCGCAGAAGCAGGAGAGACTTCTGCCATGGCAGCAGCGCTTGCCAGCCATGAGCCTGGCTTCTGGCTAAGCAGCACTACCCCTGTGGGAGCACACTGACCACCAGAAGGCAGTTTCTAGATTGAGCATCTGCACCCTGGTGGCCAGTGCACGTCATAGCAACCAGTCATTCTGCCTTTTGGTCAATTTGCATATTAGCCTTTTATTATATAGGAAGATAGTCAAGATTTGAAAGAAGCCCAATTGTCCATTAGCAGATGAGTAGATAAAAAAGCTGTGTGGTACATTTACATAATGGAATACTACTTGGCTATAAACAAAGAAAGAAATCTTACCTTTTGCCACAGCATGGATGAACCTGGAGAGCATTATGCTAAGTGAAATAAGCCATCAGAGAAAGACAAACACCATATGATTTTACTCATCTAAGGAATCTAATGGAAAAAATAACAAACAAAATTTTAAAAAACACACCATGATCCCTTTTAATATATTCCAGAATTTTATAATTCTTTTTTTTAAAATATATTTTTATTGATTTTTCACAGAGAGGAAGGAAGAGGAATAGAGAGCTAGAAACGTCGATGAGAGAGAAACATTGACCAGCTGCCTCTTGCGCAGCCCCCAACAGGGATGTGCCCGCAACCAATGTACATGCCCTTGACCGGAATCGAACCTGGGACCTTTCAGTTCGCAGACCGATGCTCTATCCACTGAGCCAAACCGGTTTCGGCAGAATTTTATAATTCTTAAACTACTTCCAAAATTTTGAAGGTTGTTCACTTACTACTTTTTTATTTAATTTATTTTTTATTTTGAGAAGTGCATTTATTAAAGCTGGGGACAGTGAAACAAGGAAGGGCTTACGATAGACGAATCACAGGAGAGAGCCTAGGTGGGGCTGCTTTGGCTCAATACAGATATTATAGAAAAGAAATGAGCTAGGTGGAGATACTTTGGCTCACTGGAAAGTCAAAGAAAAGAGGGCCTTGGAGGCAGGTTTAGGGGGTCAGCCTGGGACCTCCTCATTGCTCCCCTAGTTGCAAGTCTCAGGGGGACCCTTAGAGTTTTACAGAGGCTGACTGAGAGGAAAGAAAGGTGTGTGCCTGCTCCTGGGAAGGAGACCGCACCCATTTACTACTTTTTAAAAAAATACTTAATATATCAATAATATATGATACCAAAATTATATGCATGTATATGATATAGATAGAAAGATTTACTGGTGTAAGCTTATTGAAAAATGCATGGATAATAATTGTGTGTTTTTTTTCTGCTTTTTCTTCCTGATTAGCTGCTGGGCTATAGTGAAAAGCCAATAAATCTACAGATGTTTATTGGAACAGCAGATGATCGATATTTACGCCCTCATGCATTTTATCAGGTGCATCGAATCACTGGGAAGACAGTTGCTACTGCAAGCCAAGAGATAATAATTTCCAGCACAAAGGTTCTGGAAATTCCACTTCTTCCTGAAAACAATATGTCAGCCAGGTATTTGAAACACCCCCAAATAAATAGCTTTTTTTCTCCCTCAGGCAACTTTTGAAAAAAAACAACATAGTACAAAAATGAAATATTTGTTCTAAATTAACTGAATAACATTATATAAATAATCATAGTACATTTGGTAAGGTTAGTAGCATATTTCCAGAAAGAAACTTCAATTCAGCAGAAATTTATGAACCCATGGTAATATCTGCCAGCAGTATGCTAGGTGATAGAAATAAAAATATTTTGACTTTTTTCAAGTAAGTCATAGACTCATTATGAACATTATGTTTCTTTTAAGAAAAATTTTGACTACCTTTAGGTGGTCAACTTCTGAATGAGTATGCAATGGAGTTTTGTTTAAGTATATTAATTAGGGTTATATATAGCTGCCTGTTATAAAAACCTGAAATAAAGTGGCTAAAACAGAGGCTTACTTTTGTTTCCCCTAATAGAAATATACACATAGGCATTTTAGGGCTAGCACAGTGGCTTCATAAATCATTGGGTTCTCAAGTTCCTGTTTTTTTCCCCCCCTGTATTTTTAGTATGTGGTTTTTTTCTTTTTAAATATGTTTTTATTGATTTTAGAGAGAGAGGAAAGGAGATGGTGAGAGAGAAAGAAACATCAGTAAAAAAAGAATCATTGATTGGGTGCCTCCTGCACACCCCCTACTGGGGATTGAGCCATCAACGCAGGCATGTGCCCTAACCAGGATTCCAACAGTGACCTCCTGGTTCAGATTGACGGTAAACCACTGAGCCACATTGGCCTGGCTGCTGCTTTTCTTTTTCTTTTAAAAAAAATATATATTTTATTGATTTTACACAGAGAGGAATTGAGAGGGATAGAGAGTTAGAAACGTCGATGAGAGAGAAACATCGACCAGCCACCTCCCGCATCCCCCCCACTGGGGATGTGTCCGCAACCAAGGTACGTGCCCCTGACCGGAATCGAACCTGGGACCTTTCAATCCTCAGGCCGACGCTCTATCCACTGAGCCAAACCGGTTTCGGCTGTTTCTTTTCTTTTTTATCTTATATGTATTTATGTTGTAAAATGCCGTATTCTTTCTAAAAAATAGAGTATAAATAAATATATTAAAGAAAATGCAAATTTTCACAAAATTTGGAAAGCCTCACACAACTAATAGTGTGTGTGGGGAAAATCAGAAAAGTAGGGTCTGCCTCTTCCTCTTTCTATCTACTAGCACATGTAACAGAGCTGGTAAGTCATGATTTCATGTCCCTTTTCCAACAGACCTGGCATATACTGCCTGCCTGGATCACACCATAAAGGACAAAGTTGCAGAAATACAATTTTTAATAGAAACAAGCAACTAGCCCCCTCACCCTATTTTGCCAGAGGCATACCTGAAACTTCTCTGGCCGTTTTATCCACTTTGGACTGTTAAGTTGGGAGTCAAGAATTCTATGGAAACCAAGGCTTCTAGCAACTTTGTATATATCCACGTAAGGGTTGAGTAAAGAGCATCAAGGAAGTTACCAAACCTAAGAAACCTTTCCCATGTACTTAGATAACAAGGAAGCTAATGCTAAATGAACTTCTTTTACCCAAGAACTAATTACTATGTTAAGCTTTAATAATTGAATGTAATATAGTTTCACATAGTGGGGAGGTAAAATTTTGTGAGTAATAGATAAGACCATTCATTATTCAAAATAATTTATGCATAAATGAGTTACAAGTATATATTAAATGTCCCTACTGTTCTCTAAAGCAATAAGTGGGAACAGATTTGTAGATATTCCCCTTGTTTTGCCTACTATCCCTCAGGCTTTGTCATTTCAATCCTAATCTCTCTTGGATGTATAAGACCCTTTATTTAAAACCAGTTCATTAACTGATAAATCATAGAGCCACCATCCTATAAGATACTTTAAATATAGCATGTCAGTACTCATTGCTTTACCTTACTCATAACTCCTCCTCTTTTAAAAACTAGATGAATATGGATGTGGCAGAGTTACATTCTGATCTAAAATATAGTTTTGGTTGGAAACAGACTTTAATAGTTATAGTTATTTTCATTCTGATATATGTAGTATTTTTTTGGTTGTTTTTTTCCTCTTGTCTGGCATTTCTTGGCCAGAGTTTTAAGATTCTTTTCTGATTCTCTTACTCTACATTTTCTATTAGAAGCTTAGCTTCCTACTAAAATACCTCCCTTCAAAACTTAATAAAATGTATATTCTCTGTTGTTTCCCCCTAAACTCATCTTGACATGTTAACATTAATAATAACTACTCAATATAATTTGTTTCATACTGCTTTGAACTAAAGTGCAGTTGTCTGATTTTTTTTTTTGAGTTTTTAAAAAATATATTTTTTATTGATTTCCGAGAGGAAGGGAGAGAGAAGAGAGATAGAAACATCAATGATGAGATTGATTGCCTGCCTCCTACACGTCCCCGACTGGCAGGGAAATTGAGTCCGCAACCCGAGCATGTGCCCTTGGCCAGAGTTGAACCTGCGATCCTTTAGTTCACAGGCCGACACTCTATCCACTGAGCCAAACTGACTAGGGTTGATATTAATTAAATATTTGTTTTCAAAATTCTTTTCTTTTTAAAAAATATATTTTATTGATTTTGTACAGAGAGGGAGGGAGAGAGACAGAGAGCCAGAAACATCGATGAGAGAGAGTCATTGATCAGCTGCTCCTGGGGATATGTCCGCAACCAAGGTACATGCCCTTGACCGGAATCGAACCCGGGACCTTTCAGTCCCCAAGCCAACGCTTTATCCATTGAGCCAAGACCGGTTTCGGCCAAAAGTATTTTCTTTTTTAGAAAATTTTTTTCTTTCTGAAGATGAAAATTTCATCCTTTTTGGGATTATTTCTTGTGTTTTACTGATTCTTATCTTGATATTCTAGTTCTGTAATATAAATTGTCCTTCAAAGCAACCTCTGTGGCCTTTTGGCAGTGTGCATTAGAATTGAACTTTTGGTAGATACAGTAAGAGTATTAATAACAATAAATGCCATAAGAGAGTAAACTTGAATTAGAATGTTGACCATTAGTTATTCATTTGCTAAATTCTTCCAGTATGTAACAAGATATGTTGTAGGTACTATTCGTTTCCTACCATAATTATGTTGTAGGTACTATTCGTTTCCTACCATAATTAAGCACATCATAACTTAGTAATAAATTTTGAAAGTAATGAATGTTAAATCTTAAATGCCAAAAATAATTTTGTGTGTGCATTCTTTAGAAATACACTGAGTGGCCAGATTATTATGATCTCTGGATGCATAATAAACTGGCCATTCAATATATATATATATATATATATATATATATATATATATATATATATATATATATATATATGTTAGTGGCCTGGTGCATGAATTTGTGCATGGGTGGGATCTGGCCAGCCTGGTCAGCGGGAGGGGACATGGGCAGTTGGCCAGCCTGCCTGCTGGTTGAACTTCTGGTCGAGGGGACAATTTGCATATTAGCCTTTTATTATATAGGATATACACTGAGTGGCCAGGTTATTATGCATTCTGAGATCATAATAATCTGGCCACTCAGTGTACGAAGTGATGTTAGAAATTTAAGAATCTTAGCCTAAGGGATTGTTTTATTAATAAACATCTATATATATATATAAAAGTCTAATATGCTAAATGTCTGACCATCTGACCGATTGCTGTGATGCACACTGACCACCAGGGACAGGTGCTCGATGCAGAAGCTGCTGACACACACACTGGCCATTTACAGAGAAACAAACCAACCCCACAAAACAACACTCGGCTTCCCCAAAGTGGGACACAGGCCCTGCCACCACCCCGAGTGACAGCCCACCAATCGCAGCCAACACTGCCCAGACCCCATGGCGCATAGTGCAGTCCATAGCCCAGCCCAGCCCAGAAATGGTTGCTGTGGGCGCTGGGTAATGACGTCATGTAGTAACACCTGGCTTCCTCTCTCTAGCTGGAAAATGGAGATTTAGAAAGCTTAGAAACCTGACCCACTGAAAAGAAGTAAGAAATAGTGGACCTTAAAAATGACTTTAGGTTTTCTCACTGTGCAGAATATAGTCAAACACTGCTGCAGTTAAATATTTTACCCTTTGTTCTCCCTGTGTGATCTACAATAATAATCTGCTTTATGTTGATATTTACTGCTGTGTTGCTGTCAATTACCTGAAAGAGGAGTTGGGATGCTTCATTGTGCTGGAAAAAGTTTAGCTACATCAGAAAGCAGGTCTAATTAAGTAAGTTTATTCCCTGTCTATAAAAGGCTAAGTTGACTTGCACATGTGTGACACACATAAAGCCCTTGCTGGCACCAATTGCACATGAGTGTTTCGATCTGTCATTGTCGATTGTGAATTCTGTTGACATTTCTATTATAGGGAAAGGGTGAATAGTGATATTAAAATTTTTCTTCTAATTAATTTCCTTTCAATGTGCATGAATCCATGCAACAGGCCTCTAGTATCACAGTAAAAATCTATGCTGTTAATGAGATTTATTTATTTATTTATTTATTTATTTATTTTTATTTTAAAATATGTATTTTATTGTTTTTTTACAGAGAGGAAGAGAGAGGGATAGAGAGCTAGAAACGTCGATGAGAGATAATCATCGATCAGCTGCCTCTGGCACACCCCCCACTGGGGATATGCCCGCAACCAAGGTACATGCCCTTGACCGGAATCGAACCTGGGACCTTTCAGTCTGCAGGCTAACGCTCTATCCACTGAGCCAAACCTGTTTCGGCTGTTAATGAGATTTGTTGTCCAATAAGTGATTCTTTTCTGGTCTAATTACATATATAGAATTAAAAATTCTTTTTACTTTATGTTTCACTTATCTAGTTCTGTAAAACAAACCAACCCCAAAATTTAATGGCTTTAAGTAGTAACTTTATTTATTTATTTGTTTATTTATGTGATCTTCACATGAGGATATTTTTTCCATTGCTTTTCAGAGAGAGCTGAAGCCGGTCGGGAGAGGGCAACATATCTACTGGTTGCCTTCTGTATGCGCCCTGACTGGGGGGTGGGAATTGAACCTGCATAGGCCAACACTAACCACTGAGCAATACCAGCCAGGGCATAATAATTATTATTATTTTTTTATGATTCTTTGGATTGTCTACACTCAACCAGTTCATTCATAGATTGTTGGCTAGGATCACTCATACACCTGAATCCAGCTTGTAACTCAGCTGGATTTGGAACATCCAAGATGACTGGAGTAGTTAAAGATTACCTCGGCCATTCTGTCCTGCTATTTGAACTTCATCATGGTGGCTTAGGGCTCCAAGAGGAAATTATGAGGCTTCTTAAGTGCTGGGCTTATAACTTACATGGCATCGTTTGGCCACATTCTATAAGGCCAGCTCTTAAGGACAGGAGACATAGGAACTCTAGGAGGAGGGCATGCAAGTACTGGAATGGGAAGGAATTATTGCAGACAGTCTATTACGCTTACTGTTACATTTTGTCATATAAAAATATTTCTTTAAAATTTCCACTTATCTTTCCTTGATCCTCTTCTACCTCTTCTCACCCACCTTTCCCTCTGGTAATCACCATACTATTGTCTGTGGCTTTGAGAGATTTTTTTTTTTTTTTTTTTTGCTTAATCCCTTTATCTTTTTTAGACATTTTTTATTTTACGTAGTGATAGTTATTCCCTGCCAAATTAATAATGGCTATTTAGATGAGTTATTTAGAACCACTCTAGTTATTAGTCAGCAAGTAAAATTTTTCTATTTTTTTTCTCCCTAGTATTGACTGTGCAGGTATTTTGAAACTCCGCAATTCAGACATAGAACTTCGAAAAGGAGAAACTGACATTGGCAGAAAGAATACTAGAGTACGTCTTGTGTTTCGTGTACACATCCCACAGCCGAATGGAAAAGTCCTTTCTCTGCAGACAGCTTCTATACCTGTTGAGTGCTGTAAGTGAGCTTTGTGATGATGTTTTAAAATTTTGTTTACAATAGGTCATTTTCTATTTTGCTTGTAATGTGATGTTTGGATCAAAAGTGTAAACGGAGGCACAGATTCTGAATAGCTTATGTGATCTTCTTATGAGAATAAGCTATAAGGTTAGGGAAGGAGTAATGATCTTGAAGTTAGAAAATGATTTCTCATTATAATTTAACCCTAGGTAGCTGTGTGACTATAAATAAATTCTCTTAACTACAATTTCCTTTTTTTTTTTTTTTAATTGATTGGTTTTTAGAGAAAAAGGAAGGGGGTGGGAGAGAAAAAGAAAGGAGGTGGGAGAGAGATATCGATTTGTTGTTCTACTTATTTATGCACTCATTGGTTGATTTTTTTATATGCCCTGACTGGGGATATATTCCCACAACTTTGGAGTATCTGGACAACACTCTAATCAACTGACCTACCCAGCCAGGGCTTGACCACAGTTTTCTTATCTGTAAATGAGGAAGTTGGGTTTGTTGACACCTGAGGACCAAATCATGAATCTATGATTCTGATACTAAGTATTACTTGGCCATCTTTGTTTAATTAAAATGTCAGCCTTTATGTTGGAAGATGCCTGTCTCTGTGAGCTGACACCTCAGCTAAATAAGACCTCACAGGATTTTGTTTCTTGTGGGCATTATGTTTTTACCATAAATTTAATTACAATATCAAATTGAGAAAGTTAATGCTTTCCCCCCCCCCCCCGATTTATAAAGATAAGAAATGAAAAAAGGCCTTGGAACATGATTTCTACTCAAGCCCCAAAGAACTGTGGATTTAAGATATTTAACTCTCTGGCAGGTTAGCTAGTAGGACTGAAATATTGAGACTGCTGTTTAGATCTTTCAGACATAGTCTTAGAAGTGTTTTAATTTCATGTCTTTTGTGTAGGAGGAAACTCAAGTAGTCATCCAAGGTTATTTGTTTATAGGGGACAGAGCTGTGCCTAGAACACAAGTTTTCTTAGTACTCTTTCAGTTATACCATTTTATTCTGTTAACCACATCTTAATTTGGGATTACATCTACTTAATTACCTTTTTGTACCTCCATTTGCTGTTTGCTGAATTGGATTAATACTTTATCATTTCCTTATTGACTGTAGGAATCACTGAATAAATCCATGGTAATAGAAATCACTGGAAAAGTAATTATTATATTAATTTTTAAAAGATAATACAAGTACATGGTATAACATTCAGAAAGAATAAGAGTATAGAGTGAAAAGCAAATTTCTAAGTCAACATAAAAGCAGCTATCATTGCCTTTGTTTTTATTATCTTGCCATAGTATTCTGTGCCCGTATAAGCACATATATTTAGTAAAACAATTTAAATAAGTTCATAGAGTAGTTTGAGTTTTTGAGATTGAAGTTCCTCTGAAATAATATCCTATTTTTTATTTTAGTTTATTAAATTAATATATAATTGTTGTTGAGAATATAGAAAATATAGAATAATACAAAGAGTAGTGTTAAAAATCTTTTGTAATATCACTTGTCCAAGATAGTCAATATTGAATATTTTTGGGGTTTTCATTTTTGTTTATACATTGTACATATATGTGTGTGTGTGTGTGTGTGTGTATTAATATATATATAATATTTTTATTTATTTAAATATATTTTTATTGATTTCAGAGAGGCAGAGAGAGGGAGAGAGTCAGAAATATCAGTGATGAGAGAGAACCACTGATAGGCTACCTCCTGCACACCCCACACTGGGGATAGAACCAGCAACCCAGGCATGTGCCCCTGACCAGAATCAAACCCAGGACTCTCATTCTGCAGACCAGGACTTTATACAATATTTTTAGTTGGGCTTCCCTGAGTTTTATAGCTTGTTTTGATATTTTCACTTATAATGGGCATTTTCTCATATTGCTAAATGTTGTTCAAAAATACAATCTTTAATACGTGTAGAATTTTTTATTATGCTGATAAAAATTTCTGTTACTTTTGATACCATTGTAATTTAACCTAGTTATGAATAACTAGAAAGGAGCAAAAGAAAATTGTGCAACATAATTTCACATCTTTGGATTTAATTTGTCATTTATAATTATATTAGATTTATCTATTTTAATAGTTATAGGGAAAAAATACACTAAAAACTTTAGCCCTGGCCATTTTGGCTTAGTGGATACAGCATCAGCCTGCAGACTAAAGGATCCCGGGTTCGATCCCAGTCGAGGGCTCATGCCTGGATTGTGGGCTCGATCCCCAATGGGAGGTGTGCAGGAGGCAGCCAATCCATCATTTTCTCTCATTATTGATGTTTCCCTTTTTTCTCCCTCTCCCTTTCTCTCTCTGAAATCAATAAAAAAATTTTTTTTAAAAAACAACTTAAGCTAAAAAGAGAAAAGTTGGATGAGATGAATGTATTGAAGTCATTTGAAGTTTCAGGCATTAATTTTTCTTTATGAGTTGTTTTTTTGTAGTTGTTGTTTTAGAAAATAATTTAGAAATCACATAAATCAATCTGTTTTGTTTTCTAAATAATGTAGGGTTTTTTTGTGTGGATATTGCTACAATTGTCTTGAATTATAAGAGCCCAGGGTTTGCTTCTCTTTATTTTCATTTTTAGCTTGAATTTGACATTTATATATGAAAAATTGTAAACTGATATTTTGCTTCTTCTCAACTCTTAAAACAGCCCAGCGGTCTGCTCAAGAACTTCCTCATATTGAGAAATACAGTATCAACAGTTGTTCTGTAAATGGAGGTCATGAAATGATTGTGACTGGATCTAATTTTCTTCCAGAATCGAAAATTATTTTTCTTGAAAAAGGACAAGGTAAATAATAGAGGATTTGAGTTGATTGACCTCAGACTGAGAGGCAAAAGGGTGAAATGAATTATTCATGTCTCACTGACATTAAACACAAAATAGTTTTTTTTAAAGTACAAATATCATTTTATACAGATTTTATTGTAAATCAGATGTTTATTAAATTTTCATATCAATGTTAAGTTTTTCATTAAGGATGTTACAAAAGTAGAAGAATGCCCCAGTAGTTTTACTCCGAGTTTTATATATATAGATATAGATAGAGATAGAGATTTTTTTTCAAGAGAATTGAAAACATATGTCACAGAGAAATTTGGACATAAATGCTTATAGCAGCATTATTTATAAAAGCCAAAAAATGGAAACAACCCAAGAGTTCATCAACTGATAAATGAATAAAGGTGTGGTATAGTCATACAATGATGGAATATTATTCAGCCATTAAAAGGAATAAAGTACTGATTCATGCTACATTATTGATGAACCTTGAAAATACTGTGCTAAGTGAAAGAAGCCAGCACAGAATATCCAGAATATGCAATTTTTAGAGGCTGCAATGTAGATTAGTGGTAGTAAGAGGTTGGAAGGAGGTGTCAGTGGGGAGTGACTACTAATGGGCATGAGGTTTCTAAAATTAGAGGTGATGGTTGTAGAGCTTTGTGAATATAAAAACCTTTGGATTGTATATTTTAAAAGGGTGAATTTATGTATACTTACATGATTATATCTTTATTTTTATTTATTTATTTTTAGAGAAAGAGAGAGAAAGAAACATTGATTTGTTGTTCCACTTAATTTATGCATTCATTGGTTGTTTCTTGTATGTGTCCTGACTGAAAATCGAACCAGCAACCTTTCAGTGCACAGGATGATGCTCAACTAACAGTCACTCTGGTTGGGCAAGAACTTTTTATTTAAATTGAATCATGTTACATGGTGGTAGTTGTGAACATGTAGCTCCCACTCTGAAAGCACCTTATGTGATCTCTTCGTATTTTTAGGCTCCTAATGTGGCATTCAGGCCACAATCTGTTGCCTATCTTTCTAGCTCCATTTCTTACTATTCCTTGCCTCATACTTTATACTCTACCAACATAGCTGTTTATGATTCCCTATATCTTGTGGTTTCTTGTCACCTAGTTGTTGCTCAGGCTCTCTCTTTGGCCTAGACTACTCTCCTCCTCACCTCCCTACTCTCCCTCCCCACCTCTCACCCCCCACACACACCATCTGAATTCCACCTCATACTTAAGTCTTAATTCAAGAGCTCTTCAGGAAGTCTTGCTTGTCCCATATTTCCATCCCAAGTCTAGGATAAGGATCCTGACCTCGGTACTCTTGGTACTTTCAGAATGCATTTTTATTAGTGTAACCACCACGTTTTCTCATAATGAACTGTTTGTACTTGTCTTTTATCTACAGGCTGAAGTTAGGGTATCCTATCTTCATTGTTTCAATAACACAAAGTACCTGGTACAGGGGACCCAGTAAATGATAGCTAACTGAGCTATAATTTTAAGTAGGCATAGGATTTATCTATAGGATCTCTTGTGTACAAAGATTGCCATTACCTAGTTACTGGATTGGAAAAGGATAGTCACAATCTGGAAGGCATTTGATTAACTCTCTCCTAATATCTTCATAGACCAGATGGAGTTATGCTGTATATGAAGATATTTGTATAGGTTAGTCACTGAGTAAGCCCATGACATAAGAAGAATGCTTTAGAACAGCTGTTCATCAAATTGGAGTGGGAGCATTAGTAGTAAGTGGGGCTCTCCCTAGATCCTCATGAGCCATATGCAGCTCTTTGGCCCCTTGAGTGTGGTTCTTTCACAAAATACCACGGCCTGCACGAGTCTATTTTGAAGAAGTGGCATTACAAGAAGTTTAAGTTTAAAAACTTTGGCTCTCAAAGGAAATTTCAGCCGAAACCGGTTTGGCTCAGTGGATAGAGCGTCGGCCTGCGGACTGAAAGATCCCAGGTTCGATTCCGGTCAAGGGCATGTACATTGGTTGCGGGCAGATCCCCGGTGGGGGGTGTGCAGAAGGCAGCTGGTCGATGATTCTCTCTCATAGATGTTTCTAACTCCCTGTCCCTCTCTGTAAAAATCAATAAAATATATCTTTAAAAAAAAATTTCAATCATTGTACTGTTGATATTTGGCTCTGTTGACTAATGAGTTTGCCGACCACTGGCCTAGATGAACAAGTCACTCCTGATGAAAAGATAGAAAATATGCTGGCCACATCTTCAGGTGATATAAATCTGGGAAGTACAGGAACCTATTTTAGAAGACCATCAGTACCTAAAAAGATCTTGACAAGCCAAGCGATCTAAGGAAATGAAGTCTGGTAGGGAGAAACTAATGTAACAAAGGGTTGGGGAGGAACCCCAGATATGTCAGTGCAGTGTGGGAGCGTGAGCTTGGCAATAGGAAATGTGGCAGATTGAGGGACACTTGCTGACCACCCAGTAAGTGCAAGAGAAAACATGGTGCGGCTGCCTCAGAAAATTATTAACAGAGACACAGCATGTCTATAATACATAAGGTTGGCAAGAGCCTGGTTACTGTCCACAATGCTGGGTCATTTCTCCCTTGGCTATTCAGTCCTGGGCCTGTGCAGTTAGAGGGAGATGGTCACATTGGAGGAATGTTCAATGAAGAGTGATTAGGAAGCTGAACTGTTGTATAAGGGATAGATGCAGAGTTAGGGATGCTAACCAGGAGAAGAGGAGACACAGGCAAACAGAGCAGCTTTTAAACATCTGAAATCTTGTCTCACGGAGAAGCACTCTAGATTCGTTGGGTTGGGTTGGATATTGTAGAGATAGATTTAATTTATCACAAAGAACTTTCCAGCAGCAAAGATTTATTATCCAAAGATGAAATGGGTTATTGGTGAGAGTGAATTTTCCATTAGTTAAGGTATACATGCAGAAGTTGGCCACCTCTTGGTGAAGATTCTCTCACAGGATTTTCAGATATCACTTACTAGAATAAACTCTCTGCCACCTGCTAACTCAGGAAGCCCAAGATCTTTCTTCCCATAGGTACACATTTTATGTTCATAATGGAAGTTAGTGAGAAACAGATTCCCTTTGCTAATAAATGTGTGATACTAAATACATTAGATTTTGTTTATATGCTTTGTGACTTGCATTACTTTTAACTGTAAATTGTTTCTTTCAACAGATGGACGGCCTCAATGGGAGGTAGAAGGGAAAATAATCAGGGAAAAATGTCAAGGGGTAAGAAATTCACCTTATTTTTTTTAGAAATACTTTAGAAGCTTAATGAGAAAATTGGATATTGCTGCTTATGGTATAGATGAGAAGTCTTTTATCTATTGAGTAATAGAAAAGTAAATATTTAGAAATTTGGATCTGAGCTAGATACTTTCTGATATTAAAGTTTAGGAAAGATAATTGGTATCTTCCCCTATTTGTGTATAGGAAAGGAGAAATTAGAAATGAAAAATTATTAGAAGCTTCTTAGTGAAGTTATATTGATTTATTTATCTGAATTTAGTGAAGAAATAAAATAAATTCAGAAAAGACCATGTTATTGAGGGCAAAAAATAGGAGGAAGACAAGCCCTCAGGGGTTTGTATATTTAGCTTCCAACTCCTCAGCATCAGGCCATTCAGGATTCAACACGTAGCTGGTTCCTTCCTGGTTGGAGTAGAGACAGAATTTTCTCTGGGAGAATACCACTTCTCACAGTACTTTCTCTTCAAAGACCTTCGAGAAATTAGGTTAAGGATCGGAGCCAAAGGTTTTCACTCTGCGTGTGTAAAATTATTTTTATAGAGATATAAGTTTTGTGTATTGACAATTTAAAATATTTGAATATAAAATTTAAGATAAGAAATTAAACTATAATGAGGGAAAAAAAGAAATCTATACTATAATATTACTTGGGAAATAATAAACTTGATTGGGCCCTGTCCAGTGTTGGTTAATGGTTAGAGTGTGGCCCGAACAATGAAGGGTCACAGGTTCGATTTCTGGTCAAGGGCATCTACCCAGGTTGCAGGTTCGATCTCTAGCCCCAATGGGGCGCATACAGGAGGCAACGATTTCATGATTTCTCTCACATCTCATCGATGTTTCTCTTTCTTTTTCTCTCTCTCTATTCCTTCCCTCCCTCCCTCCTTCCTACCTTCTCTCTCTAAAAATCAAGGGGAAAAAAATATCCTCAGGTAAAGGTTAACAAATAAACAAGAAAAAAATAGAATAGGTCTTGGTTGGGTGGCTCAGTTGATTGGAGCATCATCCTGTACACCAAGAGGCTGCAGGTTCAATTCCTGGTCAGAGCACGTCTCTAGGTTGCAGGTTCAATCCCCAGTTAGGGCACATACTAGTACAGAGGCAACCGTTGATGTCTCTCTCACATCAAAGATTCTCTTACATCGATGTTTCTCTCTTCCTTCCTCTCTCTCTCAAAATCAGTGAAACATATCCTCAGGTGAAGATTACAAAACTAAACAGAATGGGCTTCCAGTTAACATGTAATATTCAGTAGAACAAAGTATTTCACTGCTTTGTAAGTAAGACTTTTTATTTCTGCTACAACTAGAAACCAATTTGGGTCAGTGAAAAACAATTTTTCCTCTCATGGTTTACTTTAAAGAGCTTATCTCTTTAAAGTGAAGTATCCATAGAATAAATCTCCAAACATGAATAGTTGATGCAGAATGATCTGTGGTGGAAGGGCCTGGGTAGATAAAACTCATGAGTGGTACTGAGTTTAGCAGGTGCATTTCATTTTTAGTTCTGAACGTAACACAATCTTGCTCTCCATGCTCCTTAGGCTCACATTGTCCTTGAAGTTCCTCCATATCATAACCCAGCAGTTACAGCTGCAGTGCAGGTGCACTTTTATCTTTGCAATGGCAAGAGGAAAAAAAGCCAGTCTCAACGTTTTACTTACACACCAGGTAAGAGGAGTTGTGATGGATTGCCTCAGACCTTTCTTTCATAATGAAGAAAAAGTTATCCAGTGAATTCTATACTAGGATGTTCAGGGAAAGATAGTTTATAATTTATAAAAATCCCAACATATGTCTAATCTCTAAAATCTGTGTTGACCTTAAATATTAGATGTAATATCAATTGCTATTTTGTAGTCATTTTTATAAGGAAATTAAAAGTTTGAATATAGATTTGAAGTCTGTTTTTCAAAAGCTACCAAAATCACCAGTACTACAGGAAGGGCAGGTGTTTGTGAGTATGTGTGAATTCCCTTAGTACTGCAAGACTTGAGCTTTAAGGGGGTGTGGTCACATGATCAAATTTGTGTGAATAAGTTTGATACAGTTGTTGTAAAGACAACAACTAAAGACATTCAGCCGGGACCGGTTTGGCTCAGTGGATAGAGCGTCGGCCTGTGGACTGAAAGGTCCCGGGTTCGATTCCGGTCAAGGGTAAGTACCTTGGTTGCAGGCGCATCCCCAGTGGGGGGTGTGCAAGAGGCAGCTGATCGATGATTCTCTCTCATCGATGTTTCTAACTCTCTATCCGTCTCTCTTCCTCTCTGTGAAAAATCAATAAAATATATTAAAAAAAAAAAAAAGACATTCAGTTCAAGAGTAATCAATGCTGTTGAGATTGGGAATGTAAAGTCTAACTTGAACAAGAAGGGAGAGGGCTTTTGGGATTGGGGGAGGGGGAAGCAGTAGTGTCAGCAGATTAGAGGATTTGATTACTATCATCATAGTGCTAGTAATTGAATGGTAAACAGAAAGGAGAGTATATAATGCATTTACATTATTAGCTTGTGAACTAGGAGGACAATATAAAGCAGTGCCATTCCATATGAGAATGGAAATCATTAGGGCTCTCAGAGTGTACTGAAAATATTGCATTGGGCTCCAGCTGTCATCACTGGCCTTATGGTTGACAGAATACAAATCAGGTAGCACACTAACAAGGAAGAAAGGATACACAGGAGCGTTTGGACAGTCCTCATTCTGGTTAATCACTGTTTTTTTCTCTCTATAGCATTGATTTTTTTTTAAACAATGTTTTGAATAAAAATTAAAAAGAAAAACTAATACATTACTATGAATTTAAAAAAAAAAACAAGTTGAAAAAATACTTTAAAACACTCAAATTCTCTTCCATCTGAAGCTATCATTCTGTCCTTAAAGATTCTTTTGTTCCATATATAGACACAACTTTTTAAAAATAGAAATGGAACAATCCCATATATACTAATTTTGTAACATGAGCATTTTTATTTTTCCTCAACAGTGGATAGAGTTCTACATAATTTTACTAGCTTCTTCATATTCTAGTGTATGACCTTCTCTTTAAGTCATAGATACTTTGTTTGTCTTGTTAATTTGTATGAATTCTTTGTTAAGATTTTAGCCTTTATGTTTGTGGCAAATAATTTCTATTAAAATTTTACTGTAGATAGTTTCTGTTGAGAAATCAACTGACTATCACATTGGTGCTCCCTTAAAGTCATTCTCATGTGATCCTTGAAAGTCTCACTAAGGGACTTCTCCCAGAGCTACGGGCTCAGAGGGAAAACTACTCCATCTTGCAAGGAAAAGTGGATCTTATCTGAGGCTTGAAAAACCCACAACAGTGGAGACCACCGAACAGCTGTGACACCCCAATCGGCGCAAACATGTGGATTCAAGGGAGTTCTTCAGTCACCCACGGAAAGGAGAGAGAGAACTACATAATCAGACATCCTGAAAAGAGAGACCATGGGGAGACAAAGAAATAGCCCACACATGAAATAAAAGCAGGCATCACCAGAAAAGGAAGTAAACGAATTGGAGACAAGCAACCTCTCAGAGCAAGAATTCAGAGAAATGATCATAAGATGGCTAAAAAGAATGGAAGGCAAATTTGAAGAACCAAGAGGAAATGAGGAACCACCAAGAAGAAATGAAAAATGACATCACTATTATAAAGAACTCAATAGAAAGCATCAAGAGTAGACTAGAAGAAGCAGAGACCGAATTAGAAGACAAGATGGAAAAAAATACCCAATTACAGCAGCTTCTAAAATTTTACTATAAAAATTTTAGATATTCATAAGCTGCTTGTTTTCTACTAAAGGATTTGTCAATTTGTTACCTTTTTGGCAATTCCTTAGCAATAGGAATCTGACTAATGTCAGTATGCAGTGGAGAGATAATCATTAATTGCAAATGGCTTTTAATTGTTTTTTGTAAAATTAGAAATGATATTTAGCATTATTTGCCCCACAATCAGTTTACTTTGTTAAATGAAGATAATTATTAGAGCACAGAGCTCTTGCCTAATGGTGTTGCCTAATGAATTCTTCCCAGCCTCTAGCTCTTCAGAACTTCTGATATTGGATCCCAACCCCCACCCCAGCATCACTCAAGGTGGTAAGGGGAATGTACCTCCTTCTGAAGCTGAGTAGAAGTTACTTGTACTGGAGGTATCCTCTGAGCTTTGGTTTTAGAATAATGGGCCTTAAGGGGCAGGATTAGAGCCAGACTCTCATGTATAATATTTTGCTGGTGGGAAAATATATTGTGTTCTAAGTAGTTTACTGGACAGACCAACTTTTGGTTTCTGGTTGTTTCATTTAGGAGAGAAACGCCTTACTGTCAGGACATTAGGTCTCAGTTCTGCCACAGACTATACCCACTGATTAACTCCTTCATAAAATAACGATATAAGACCAAAGTAATGGTTTTCAAGTTTTAAAAAACATTTTATTCAAATAAATTGTTATTCAATGGCCATATATAGTAAAAAAAAAAAAAAAAAAAAAAAAGGGGGGATGAAAGCAAGCTTAGGTGCTCTGCTTATCCTGGAAGAGGAAATCCAGAGAGTTTCTACTCTTTGGATCCTACTTTTCCACATCTATCACTTGAAGAAGTTCATGAGGCTTCTCATACTTTGAAAACCCCAAAACCAATGATTTATTTTTTCTTCTGGATCCTTCCATCAATGTTCTAAATTTCAGAAGGAGCGTAAACAACACAAAAAGTAGAGTTAATCTGTTTCTAAAACTCAACTCATGCCGAAACCAATTTGGCTCAGTGGATAGAGCGTCAGCCTGAGGACTCAAGGGTCCCAGGTTCGATTCTGGTCAAGGGCATGTACCTTGGTTGCTGATCAATGTTTCTCTCTCATTGATGTTTCTCTCTATCTCTCTCCCTTCCTCTCTGTAAAAAAAAATCAATAAAATATATATTTTTAAAATTTATTTTAAAAAATAAAAAATAAAACAACTCAGTCTACAAATTGTAAGGTTTTTAAAACAATATTTCCCTCCAAACAAAAATAAATTACCTTACAGCAGAAATGAGGACTTTGTTTCGATCAGGTTGGAGTCTGAATCCCTTATTGACCAAAGAATGATACTTGATTTGGTTGAGTGGAAGTACACTTGATTTAGCAAAGCAATTCTCAGTCTGAGTACCCAGATGAGGGTTAAGAACATAGAATAAGAATTGGACCAGGCAAAAAAGATGGATGTTATGCTATAGTTTTTAATCCCTCTATCTCCTTTTTAGTGTAAGATAATCAACTGCTTATATAACCAAGGGCCCCACCTGCTCATTCAGAATTAAGGGATGAGAGTAGGCTTTCTTGGATATTCTTCCTCATGTAGAACTGTAACTCTGGATATAGAATTTACTGTGGCTTTCCTGGGGATCAGAGTAGGAGTTGAAGTAGAAAGGAAATAAAAAAAAATTCAATGGTCCAGGGAGAAAGTTCTAGTTCTGCCAAAGTCAGAAGAAAAATAAATCTATTAAAAGACATTAGAGTTCGGTCGGCATGGCTCAGTGGCTGAGTGTCGACCTATGAACCAGTGTGGCTCAGTGGCTAAATGTTGGTTCTATTCCCGGGCTTGATCCCCGTTCAGGCATCAGCCAATTAATGATTCTCTCTCATCACTCATGTTTCTCTCTTTCCCTCTCACTTCCTTTCTAAAATAAAAAATAAAGACATTAGAGAGGTCAGGAGCCAGTAGACACAGTGAACCATACTTAGAACACCTTAGTAAGAATCAGAAACAGGATGGAGGCCTGGGTTAGGAGTGAGAGCATTATAGCAGAAGCAACAAGAAAATGGGGAATATACTTTTCTCTCTGACCTTGGGCTTGTTGGCTCACCCGTTGCCAGATTTAGAGGCTAAAGTGGATGAATGACAAGCCCATGCTATTCTTGCTAGGAAGCCAGACTAAAGTGTAGAAATAAGTGTTTCATTAATTACCTCTTCTACAATAAAAGATATCATGTCTGTCTTGGCTGTCTTAATTCACTTCCGCAGACTGAGGCCATGCTTATGTGAAGAGACTTGTACTTGGTAATGGTTTGGTAAATGGCCAGATGAGATTTGACCTTGCTTTGGGTCTCATATTTATTTTCTTTTAATATAAAATGAAATACAGTCAGCCCTCTACATCCACGGACTTCCAACCGCAGATCAAAAACAGCACAGGTATTGGTTGAAAAAAATCCATTTATAGTAGACCTGCACAGTTCAAACCTGTGTTGTTCAAGAGCCAGCTGTACTTCCATTTTGTGAAGATCATGGAATTTTTAATTATGTTAATAAGTAGTACAGACTTAGAAGGAAGAATGAGATGTGGATTCAGAAAATTTATTTTTAAATGAGTTATAGCACTTTCAATAGGAAGCTAAAGTAGATAATTTCTAGAAAAGTGAATTATGTGTTTGCCAAGAGACATAATGAAATCTGTTGTCTTGACACGATAAATTAACTGGTGGTTTTCTGTTTTGATATACATATTAAACAAAATAAGCAGAATGCATTGATTCCTACTTTAAGTAGTCCTTTCATCAGGTGGACTCATCCTAAATCATGACTCTGCTACTTTTTTTGATGTGATAAGGGATAATAGCTGATATTCATAGCCTCTGCTTTGCTTGATGTAATGGTGAAGTGAAATCTTCATTGGTAAAATGGTAAATTGCAGTGCTTAAAAGCATGGATTTTTTTTTTTTTTTTAACTTGAATACTTTAGAGCAAGAACTACTTACTCCCTGTTGTCTTTTGCTTGTTGACTTCAAATATATTATCTGCCTTCCCTGAGGCATTTTATAGGTTTTTTTTGTTTGTTTGTTTGTTGTTGGTTTTTTTGTGGGTTTTTTTTTGTTTTTTGTTTTGTTTTTTTTTGCATTCTCCATTGTTGCAGGCAATTGAATTTTCAATTTGTGGCTTGGATTTATGCTATAGTTGTGTAGCCTAGAATGAAGGTCTTTTATAATTTTTTTTGTATTGTAGTAATATTTACTTTAACCATCCCCCTGCTTTCTCTCCCCTTCTTCCCCCCCAGTTTTGATGAAGCAAGAACACAGAGAGGAAATTGACTTGTCTTCAGTTCCATCGTTGCCTGTGCCTCATCCTGCCCAGACCCAGAGGCCTTCCTCAGATATAGGACATCCATGTGACAGTGTACTGTCAGCACAGAGAAGCTTGGTTTGTCCCATCCAGCAAACATATGCATCCATGGTAACCTCATCTCATCTGCCACAGTTGCAGTGTAGGGATGAGAGTGCTGGTAAAGAACCGCATATGCTACCTTCTTCAGTCATGCACCAGCCTTTTCAAGTCACACCAACACCTCCAGTGGGGTCTTCCTATCAGCCTATGCAAACTAATGTTGTGTATAATGGACCAACTTGTCTTCCTATTAATGCTGCCTCTAGTCAAGAATTTGTTCCTGTTTTGTTTCAGCAAGATGCAGCTCTTCCTAGTTTAATAAATCTTGGCTGCCAACCACCATCATCCATACCTTTTCATTCTTCAAATTCAGGCTCAACAGGACATCTCTTAGCCCATACACCTCATTCTGTGCAGACCCTGCCTCATCTACAGTCAGTGGAATACCATTGTTCAAATACAGGACAAAGATCTCTCTCTTCTCCAGTGACTGACCAGGTCACAGGTCAGCCTTCCTCTCAGTTACAATCCATTACATATGGGTCTTCACAATTAGGGTCTGCTACAACCGTTTCCCCAGCAGCTTCTCATCCCTTGGCCAGTTCACCACTTTCTGGACCACCGTCTCCTCAGCTCCAGCCTATGCCTTACCAACCTCCTAGCTCAGGAACCACCTCATCACCCACTCTAGCCACTAGAATGCATTCTGGACAACATTCAACTCCAGCACAGAGCACAGGCCAGGGAGGTCTTTCTGCACCTTCATCCTTAATATGTCACAATTTGTGTGCTCCAGCTTCATTTCCATCTGATAAGGCAACTGTGAACATTAAACCTGAACCTGAAGAGCAAGAACCTAACTTTTCAACAATTGGTCTACAGGACATCACTTTAGATGATGGTAAGTTCATCTTTATGTTCTTGAAGCAATGAAGATCCAGGAACTTCCTTCTCTGAGTCATGAGAAAGCTACCACAGATTGCTTATTGGCATATAGTTGGCTTTTTAATAAGTTGTTACTTGAGATATGTTGATATCTGATTTTGAGAATAGACAAGAAGATCTATGCTTTCAAGTCTATTTTACCACTAATATCTGTTGTAAAGTGTGAGACTGAGTGATATTCTAACACCGATTTTGATGGAACTAAATCATGAGATTTACTGGCCATCTTTTCTTCCAGAACGTATAGTAAGGTCACAGTGTCTAGAGAGTGGAACTCAGGGGTGTTAATTCAGTAAACATTGCTGAATGCCATCTATTTGCAGGGCAGAGTTAGATACTGGGTATACTGCGAATGTATTAAGATAGAGTTTTTTGTTCTTGAAGAGACTCGGACAAGTAAAGAACCTGCTCCTTTGTGGTCCTGCTAGCTTGCTGAGTCAGATTGTGGAGATAGTATAAGATTGGACTGGTTTGCTGCTGCTGGTACAGCTGTTGGCACCAAGCTAAAAGAACTATTCATATAAATATAGCAAGTTGTTAAGTAGGCCTCTGTTTTTATGAAATCAACATATTGGGAACAAACTGGAATATTAATTATTTCAATAATTGAAAATTCACCCAAATAGAATTATCATGTAATAATTTTAAGGGCTTATTCTTGGCTTTATCATCATTTATATGGTAATAACATTTTTTCTAAGTAGGAATTCAGTAAAAGCTATTATGTAAGTACTAGAGTCCCAGTGCACAAATTCGTGCACCAGTGGGGTCCTTTGGCTTGGCCTGGCCTGTGGGATCAGCCAAAACCAGCTCTCTGAGATCCCCCAAGAGGTCCTGGATTGCGAGAGGGTGCAGCCCAGGCTGAGGGACCCCGCTGATGCACAATGGGGCTGGGGAGGGATGTGGGAGTTTGGTCAGCTGGAGAGGGAATGTAGGAGGCCTCCAGGGCTTGTCCAGCCCATCTAACTCAGTTCCAATCTGCCAGACCCCAGCAGCAAGCTAACCTACAGGTCAGAGCGTCAGCCCCTGAATTCGTGCATGGATGGTGGGGTCCCTCCCCCTCTGGCACTGATTGGCCCTGATTGGCCCTGATGGGGTTGGCAGCTCTTGCATTGAGCATCTGCCCCCTGGTAGTCAGTGCACGTAATAGCTACTAGTCAACCAGTCTTACGGTTTTTCAGTCACTTAGGTTTTTATATATAGATTCTCCAATATGAAAATTTTAAAGTTTCTGAAATATGGATATAGAATTTTAATTCTCTGATTTTGTTTGATTTTGTAAATCTTTTTCTTAATTGATTTGAAAGAGAAAGAGAGAGAGAAGGGGAGGTAAGGGGGGAGAGAGAGAGAGAGAGAGAGAGAGAGAGAGAGAGAGAGAGAGAGAGATATCAATTTCTTGTTCCACCTATTTGGTTGATTTTTGTATGTGCTCTGACAAGTGATCAAATCTGCAACCTTGGTGTATCCGAATGACACACTAACCAACTGAGCTACTCATCCAGGGCTTACTCTCTCTGATTTTGTGTTTACCTATAGAAAAGTAATTTTAGCTAAACCATCTCTTTTACACATCTGAAGAGGCTGAGTTTACTACTTAGTTTCAAAGCTGGTATTAAATCTCAAATTCTACACATAAGGGGAAAGGAAGGTAAACAAAAGGTGGTGTGTCCCCTTTCAGGACTTTACCATCAGATCTATTAATGCTGTGAGATCTGAGTCACTATCAAAATGTAAGAGAAGCACTTTAGGAGATCAGCACAGAGCTCTGACATCCTATGTAATAAAAGGCTAATATGCTAATTGTCCCCTTGGGAGTTTGACCAACCTGGAGTTTGACCGCTCACTATGATATGTGCTGACCACCATGGGGTGGCGCAGAACAAAGGAAGGCCCTGGCTGGCATCCGGGGAAGGAAGGCCCCGGACAGCAACCAGAAGGCTTTGATCAGCCCTGATCGCCAGCCATACCTAGGAACCCTGTCCATGCACAGATTTTGTGCGCGGGCCTCTAGTATTCTATAAGGATTTAGCCTGTGTTCTTGAGATGACCTTTGACCTTGAGATAAGTATGTTTTAAGTGAATGAGGATCAGAGGACAAATCAGATAACATGAGAAGCAGAGCTGAATCTGATTGTCTGTGGTTGGAGGGCAAATACCTTAGTAGAAGATGGCTTTCACAAAGCCACAAGGGGATTTGCCAGGTAATTTGTGGGTAAACAGGAGGTATTTGTATAAACTGAAGCAACACCTACAATTTATATAACATTTTCCTATTTCTTATTTAATTTAATCCTTAATAATTCTGTATGAGGTAGATAGTATCTTTTAAAGAATTGGAATTTCTGAAGGTCACACAACTGGTAAGTAGCAAAGCTGAGACTGGAATCAGATCTTTCAGTCTAGTCTTTTTCTTACAGCCCTACAGCGGCCTCCCAGCAGCAGCAGGCATGGTGTTTAGAAAGCTGTGCTAACGGGGATTCCCTCAAGCTTTTTTTAATTCCTAGAGAATAGTGTAACATTCATTGTGTATGTGTGTGCAGAATTTCGTTACTTGAACATAGGTTCACAACTGCATCTGATCTGTGACATTTATATGGGGAGTACTTGGGGCTGTTCTCTTTATGCACAGCTGGCCTAAGGGTCACTGTTTACTTAATAATAATGAACACCAGGTTGAGAGTAGGCTACTACTTTGATGCAAAATAGATTTGAAATAAATAAAGGCTTTTCCAGATATATATAGATTTTCAAAATGTTATTTTATTCTTTTGGCAGTTTTAGGCTATTTATAGTGCTTTCAAGGCTTATATTTAGAATTTTTTTTCTTCCTCAGATCCTCAGTTTCATCCTGGGTATATTTAGAATTTTAATCCCTAAAACAAAGGGTTGAGACCTTGAATGATAACCTACTACCCATTTGTGATGAAACTGAAGAAATGAGATATATTGAATAGGTTTCAAAGGATATTTATTTTCTTTCCAAAGGAGACATCTTTGTCTTCTACAAAGAGATCAATGCTGGAATTGCTTTTTTCCTAATTCATCACAAATTGAGTGACTTGGGGTAGAGGGGCAGCAAATTGGAACTTCTAGAAGTTTTTTGAAATTTTTATTTCACTTTTTGATCATGTAAGGATGTGTTACAAAAACAGAATCTGTAAAAATGAGGTCTATGAGAGCAAATACAAAAGCCATTTTATTTTCACTCCATTCATTGTGTAGGGCACATGATCAAGAAAAGTTCCCAGATTGTAGCCCCATAGAAGACAAGGATTGGCTATTGAGTTTCCTCATTGCCACCTACCAGGAGACCTGATAGAAGCTCAGTAGTGCTAGTGGCTATTACGGGGGAGGGGGAGGGGACTAAAATGTCTTCCAGGGCACCTTGGTTTATTTGATGTATAATTTTTACAAATTTCATTTTTGATACTTAACTTGAACTCCCAAATGAATTTTTAATATTTGCTGACTGACTCATTGATTATATTATTTGGATTTGCCTTTGAAGGTAAATCTCTAGATGCTTAGAAAATATTATAGTTATACAAAGTTTTAATATAAATTCATTTTAAAAACAACATATCTCAAAAGATCTTAAACTCATAGTGTTTGAATGTCTCTTTTCTGGCTACCTTTGAAAGTAAGCCATTAAACATTCCAAAAAGGATTCACACTGTTGATGTCAAAAGTGTGGAAACTTGTAGAGAATTTTTATGAGTATATTTGAGCCAAACTATTATATATACCAGGACATAAGATCTCAAATTCTGCCGAAACCGGTTTAGCTCAGTGGATAGAGCGTCAACCTGCGGACTAATGGGTCCCAGGTTCGATTCTGGTCAAGGACATGTACCTTGGTTGTGGGCACGTGCCCAGTAGGGGGCGTGCAGGAGGCAGCTGATTGGTGATTTTCTCATCGATATTTCTAACTCTCTATATCTCTCCCTTCCTCTCTGTAAAAAATCAATAAAATATATATATTTTAAAAAAGATCTCAAATGCTCCTAAGGATAACAATTTTGCAGCAGCTTTTTATGCATTTGAAATTAAGGAGGGAAGTACATGTAGGAAGATTGGCAAAAACAAAGTAGAGATTGGATTACAGGTTAACAAGATGATGTGCTCTCTTGAGGGTTAATACCCCCTTCCAGGGGTACGACTTACAGTATTTCAAAGTTATGTTAACTTAGACATACAAGAAGGATGGATAAGGCTGGCTTAAAAGGTTTCCCTTTTTCTAAAGAGTTTTAGGCCTGGGGTGTGACTACCCAACAAGACCTGCCCAGTTAGGATTTTATGATCAGATAACCCTGTGAAGTTACTTTCCATAGAACCTGCTTTTCTTTTCCTCCACAGCACTTAAAAGTGAACTTCCCAATTAATCTGAGCTCTTTTTAGGTTAACTTTTCTACATTGTGTTAAGCGTTAAGTATAAAGCAGTTTCTACTCTATAACCAGAGGAAACAATTTTTTAAAATTTTTGTGCTATATTACATAAATATACTTTCTAATCCTTATAACACTGATTAATCCTGTTTCTGTTTTATGGTGTTTACCCCCTTCTTTTTTTAATCAAGTTAACGACTAAAACACAAATAAAATATTTTTATTTATTTTAAAATATTTTTATTTCAGAGAGGAAGGGAAAGGAAAAGATAGAAACATCAGTGATGAGAGGGAATCATTGGTTGGCTGCCTTCTGCAGGTTGGACCGAGCCCAAAACCCAGGCATATGCCCTTGACCAGAATCAAACCAGGGACCCTTCAGTCCTGTGCAGGCTGATGCTCTATCCACCAAGCCAAATCGGTTAGGGCTATTTTTGAAGTTTTTAACTAGGATGGAGTTTGTTAGGAATCATTCAAGTATTACTTGACTGTTAGTTTTAGAAATGTGGACATTATCACCTTAACTTTTTATTGTAAATTCAGTGAGATTTAACAAAGAAGATACTAGTG